CCATTTTTAAGAGAACAAGTAAAAAGGTTTAAATTACCGAAAACGTAGAGCCACTTTTTAGATATGTGACCGGACAGTGCATAGATAATGCGTTATGTCTTAGTTTATTTTATTTCTTTTTTCAAACAATCAGTATTTTCTTGATGCATTACATTTCACCTATTTTTCTGTTTTAGGGAAGCAACTCGCATTGAATTTTTTTTAAAGCTTTCAGATCAATTCGAACAGAAAGAAGAGTCTGTAACGGGCTTACCGGCCTTCTATAATATTTCAGCTGAGATACATTTTGAATTATACCAGAGTTCATTACAAAAAAGAAAGCCAATCGTATTCTCAGGTGACTTTGATTCAGGGTTTGAATTGCTGTTACTAATTGCATTGCTTGCATAATTGATATTACATTGCACAAGAAAATGAAATAAGAATATGCATTAGCAATAGCAAAAAAACCAAACTGGTTTCATTTTGATTGCTTGCTAATAGTCGATTTTACATATCTGACTATTATGCGTTTGGAATATATGCAACGTTCTCGCTTATGCGTTAGCTGCTTTTGTTTTGCTTTATGCGAATGTGTATAGATTTTCTCAATTGTTTTTGTTTTAAGGGAATTTGTACACATTACTGTTCTGTTGGTTTTGTGCATTGAATAAAGTTATGCAAAATTGTAAACAATGTATGTGTGCACAATTTGCATGAAAATAATATAATTTTATCTGTAATTAAATTGTGCCTACATTTATGTTTTAAAAATTAGTTTTATATCTAAATACGATTTAATAGTTATTGTTAAGACATTTACCAATTTATTATTTTGATTTATTTACACAATTTGAACTAATGTTAAATACTAATCTCTGTTCAACACTTGCGCACTTCAACCGATATAAATTCATCTTAAATTAACTACATGGCAACGCTTGCCTTTACCGTTTTCTTGTAACACGGTTGTGCAATGCACTTTTGCTCTTGGTTTCTTTCTTCTTATTTTACTCGCGAATAAAGACGGTCGTTTCGGTGAAGTGCGCAAGTGGCAATTAAAATTAGTAAATTATTTTTTAATAAAACAGAAATAGTGAAATAATAGATCCCGTGTTTTTTATTTTAAAATAACAAAACTTTAAAAACTATTAAAGTTTCTTCATGGCGCCCGAGCAGGGACTACTTTAAAGTGTTTCTTTTTTTTTGTAATCTGTTTTTTATTGTGAGTGTTTCTTGTTTGTAAATTAAGTTCACATTGCCAAGCTGTCCACGTTTATCTTTCTTATTAATAAACGGTACTGGCACAGCTATCCAAAGCCGCAACGGTGCTTCGCGGACCACGTTTATTGTTGTTCCTTATTCAACAAACGGTACCGGTACCGGTACCTTAACCTAATTTCAACGGTTTACTGCTCCACCACCACCGCTGCCCAAAGCCGCAACTGTGCATCGCGGACCACGTTTATTTCCTCATTCAATAAACGGTACTGGTACCGCAACCTAATTTCACCGGTTCGCTGCTTCACCACCACAGCTGCCCCAAAGCTGCAACGGTGCTTTACGGACCACGTTTATTCTTTAAATAAACGGCACTGGTACCATCACAATTTCATCAGCTTGCTGTTTCACCAACATCGCTGCTCATTAAAATTCTCCAATCAATGCAATTGATTGTTGCTGCAATTGGAAACCGAAGGATCGCCAGGTAATAAAAGTGTAGATGAGGCACAGTGCTTAAATAACATTTAATTATTGCGGTAACAAATCACCGCAAGCTTAACATTTTTTCTTCATCATAGCATCCTAACAGCACTACCAACTGCACTCTCAAGGGTAGATACCTTGATCCATAATCGAGAAGCAGTAGTTGCTGACATATTAAGGTTAAAGGCAAACTTACTTGAAGGCAATGTTGCAAAAAGTCCTAGTGAGCTAGAGTGTAGATTGGAAATACTTGACTCGTACATTGACAAAGCGATGCAATACCAGAGCAAAATATTTGATCTGGATCCTACTGACGACTACAGGGCTGTTTTAGAAGATGTCTGTGTTTCAACCAAATCCTTATTTTTACAAAAGTTGAAAAAACATCGCATTGGTAGCGCCCCTGCAATCTCGCATCACTGTGGTCGACCGCAATCGAAGTTACCAAGCATGCGATTACCAAAGTTTAGTGGCAAATACTGCGATTATAAAAATTTTATTAGTTTGTTTGAAAGCCTTGTTCATAGTGATGAAACTCTTACGGACATTGAAAAATTCAACCATTTACTATCATGCTTGTCAGAGGAAGCTTTTGGTACTGTGAAGGCCTTTCAAGTTACTGAGAGAAATTACCCAAAAGCGTTAGCCAGTCTAAAGAAGGTGTACGACAACAATTGTCTCATTTTTTCCGACAACATTAGTAAGCTTTTCGTAATTCCAGTAATTCACAAACCGTCTGCTGCATCTTTGCGCACTACAATTGACACTGTGTCTGTCATCTATGATTCCCTTCTTTCAATAGGAGATGATAAGAATATCACCAATGCAATTCTTATTCATTTAGTCATGCAAAAGGTAGATTCAATCACAAAATCAAAATGGTAAGAACAGCTGGATTATAACACTCTGCCATAATGGAGTGACTGTGAAGCAGCGCTTAATAAAAGGTTCCAACATCTATCAGCGGACGAGACCTCTTCTACAAAGTACAAAAAATCAGTGCCAGAGTGTGACCAAAAACCCAGTGTTAAACGGGACAAACGCAACTCTAAATCCTCTTTTGTCTGCAACAAGCTGAATCAATCCAATGAGCCAAATGTTTATATTGTATGTCTAATAGCCAAATGATAACGAAGTGTACAGCATTTGCTGAATTGCTTGTGTCACAACGGTTCGACACAGTCAAGGCAATTCCAGCTTGCATAAACTGTTTAAAAAAAGGTAAATCATCACGTTGCAGAGTGTGTGTGGGACAACATCACACACTACTGCACAAATACACTCCAATCATCCCTCATGCAACTGTAAGTTCTGATTCCGATCGCGCATTTGTAAATCATAGTGCTCATAGTGTAAGTCATAGAGCAACTTTGGAGAGTATCGAACAGCCAGAGCCTTACTTGGCTCCGGTTCTCAAACAAATTTCATGACCGAGGAACTTGCACAACTGTTGCTGTTAAGAAGGGAAGATGGATGCCTTAATTTAATTGGAATTGGTAAGATAAATACCACAATAAAGCATAAGTTACATTCTACTGTGAGATCGCGAGTCAATTCTCATGAATTCTCAGCCGATTTTTGGGTATTGCGAACAATATCCACCTACCAACCAAATCATAATATCCCTACCGCCAGTTGGAAGATTCCGGCAAACATTGAGCTTGCTGATCCATATTTCTACAAGTCACAAAGAATTGATCTTCTTCTTGGTGCTGAAACGTTTTTCGAACTTTTATCAGTAGGACAAATGAAACAAAGTCCGAATCTCCCCTCGCTGCAGAAAACATTACTCGGCTGGACTATGTCTGGGTAATATCAAAGCAATAGAAATATTGAACCCCATGCTAATGCCTTAACTGTTTCACAAAATGATGACACTGTAGTTAGTTCATTGTTGCAAAAATTTTGGGAACTTGAAGAACTTCCCAATAGTGCAAAAACCGCCACGCTCACACCTGAGCACAAACTTTGCGAGGATAAATTCTTGTCGTTAGTGCAACGCTTACCATCGGGGCGATTCAAAGTTTCACTTTCTTTCAAGTCTGATTCCAGAACCTTGGGCTGTCATTTGAGACAGCTAAGCGTCGTTTCTTGTCGCTAGAGCGCAGACTGTCTAAAGATGCTGCTCTGCATGATTTATATATGGACTTTATGAAGGAATATGTAAATCTAGGTCACATGACTTTATCAACTCGTAACTTCTCTGTATCTCCCCACTACTTCATACCACATCAGTGCGTATTAAGACCACAAAGTACATCAACAAAACTTCGTGTAGTCTTCGATGCTTCTTCGAGAACATCAACTCAACTGTTATTAAACGACATATTACTGGTGGGTCCGACGATACAAGAGGAATTATACAAAACGTTACTCCGTTTCCGCATGCTTAAATACTGCTGACATTACTAAAATGTACCGTCAAGTTTTGATTGACGATGCAGATCGCGACTTTCAACTCATTCTGTGGAGGGAAAGTCCAAACGAAGAATTGAAGACGTACCAATTGAACACTGTAACATACGGAACATCGTCTGCACCGCAACTCGATGTTTACGCCATCTAAGTGATCTTAATCAATCATTGCTTCCAATTGGTTCCAATGTTATTCGAACCGATTTCTATGTTGATGACTTGCTGACAGTTACAGATTCATTTAATGAACTCGAAATAATTCGAAGGCAAGTCACACAAATTCTGGACACAGCTGGGTTCCAGTTAGCTAAATGGTTCTCAAACCACTTTACCTATCAGGACAATAAACAGCTGAAAAAATCATTGAATATAACCGATATTGATACAACGAAAGCACTAGGCATACAGTGGCATACCACAAAAGATGGTTTCAGTTGGACGACACCTATTTAAATTTACGTGCAACAAAAAAAAAATATCTTATCGATATCAGCTCGTCTATTCGACCCCCTTGGATTATTGTGCCCAATTGTTGTGAAAGCAAAGATTTTATTGCAAGAACTGTGGTTACAGAAACTCGACTGAGACGAATCCATACCCATGCATCTTGACACTGCTTGGCAAGACTTAAGAATGACTTGAAACAGTTAAATTTAATTTCAATTCCGCGATATGTTAATTTGCATTTTAATGTTAAATGCCAAATTCATGGTTTCGCTAATGCATCAGTGCGAGCATATGGTTGCTGTCTATACGTAAGATGTGAGACGTCAAATGGTTTCAAGTGTGAGTTGCTTACTGCTAAATCAAAAGTTGCTCCTCTGAAAACCCAATCTTTACCTCGATTAGAGTTATGCGCTGCATATTTGTTTGCTAAGTTGTGGAATAGAATCCGTTTAATGTTCCATCACAACATCGACGAGGTAACTTTTTGGACCGATTCATCGATCACACTACACTGGATCAAAACGCATCCGTCTACACTTTCAACATTCGTGGCAAACAGGGTTTCAGAGATACAAGAATGGTCAACTAGTATAACGTGGCGACACGAGCAGTCACAGCACAATCCAACTGACATAGTATCCAGAGGATGTAACGTTACTGAACTAGTCAGTTCAATTTGGCAAACTGGGCCTGAATACCTGTCACAAGATGTTACCAAGTGGCCAATTAAAATAGCGCCAATACTCACTTTGGAGCAAGAATCTCTGGAAACAAGAAAAACAAGAGCTGTGTTTATCGTATCGGAAGAACCCTCAAACGCAATTTTGAACGTAGTCGCTGCTCAGTCATCATACATGAAGCTCATGCGAATTGTTGCGTATATACTCCGATTCATAAATCGCGCTAGGAAATGTCAAGAAGAGATATCACTAATCCCAAGTGTAAAACAATTAAATAGCGCTTTCTTAAAGGTCGTAGAACAGATTCAGAAAGATGCATTTCAAGATGAGATATATGCACTGATGAAGAAACAGCTGTTAAAACCAGGCATGCAGAAACTTACTCCATTCCTGCACAATACAAATTGTGGCCCCAATAAAGTAACACTGTTACGCGTGGGAGGCCGGTCGCTCAATGCCCCAATTAGCTATGATTCCAAGTTTCCACTCCTCATGCCAAAAAATCGCCATTATATTAATATCTACTTAAGGCATCTACACTTGAACATTTGTCATGCCGGTCCCAAGGCGTTAGGGTCAATTTTGCTGCAAAAGATATGGCTTGTTAACGCGAAAGCAGCTTGCAGTAAAACTGTAAGAAGTTGCATACATTGCTTTCGCTATAAACCGAAACTTCTGACTCAAATAATGGGAAATTTGCCAATTGATCAAGTCACAGCAACGCGTCCTTTTTTAATTTCAGGTGTTGATTTTTGTGGTCCCATGTATACAACATTAAAAATACGTGGTCGACCACCAGTCAAAACATACATTGCCATTTTCGTTTGCTTCACGTCTAAAGCTGTACATTTTGAACCAGTCTCTGATTTAACTTCTAATTGTTTTATTCTTTGTCTTAAAAGGTTCGTTGGACGGAGAGGACTGCCAGAGCGAATTTACTGCGACAACGCCACGAACTTCGTGGGAGCCTGCCGAGAGCTGAAAGAGCTGCAACAAATGTTCAAAATACAGAAAGACCAGCTGGTATCATATGCTGCACAAGAGGGAATCGAGTTTGTCTTCATACCTCCTCGCGCACCACATTTCGGAGAATTGTGGGAAGCCGCCGTCAAGTCCGTGAAACATCTATTACTACAAACAGCGGGCAGCGCAATGCTAACCAACGAGGAACTGCAAACATTGGTAATTCAGGTGGAAGCCGTTCTTAATTCAAGACCAATCGAAGCTCTCAGTCAAGATCCAAACGACGGTCAAGCACTAACACCAGCACACCTACTAATAGGGGATTCTTTGCGCACGCTGCCGCAAGAATCAGCGCTCGACGTGCAAAACAGCAATCTGAATTATGCGCAGAGATGGCGGCTGCTATGCGAGCTCAAACGTAAATTCTGGCGGGCCTGGTCCAAGGACTATATCCTCAACTTGCACACAAAAATCAAATGGATCTTGGATCAGCCAAACGTAGCAGTCGGCCGTCTCGTCGTTGTCCACGAAGACAATCTTCGCCCTCACCAATGGTTGATCGGCAGGGTCCAAGGTACGGTAGTCGGGAGCGACGGCAGGGTGCGAGTGGCAGACGTTAGAACAAAAAATGGAGTCATAAGAAGGCCAATTCACAAATTGGGGTTGCTTCCAACTTGAACACCTTATGGTGCTTCAACGTGGTCGGTGTTAAGACATTTACCAATTTATTATTTTGATTTATTTACACAGTTTGAACTAATGTTAAATACTAATCTCTATTCAACACTTGCGTTCTTCAACCGACAAAAATTCATCTTAAATTAATTACATGGCAACGCTTGCCTTTACCGTTTTCTTGTAACACGGTTGTGCAATGCACTTTTGCTCTTGGTTTCTTTCTTCTTATTTTACTCGCGAATAAAGACGGTCGTTTCGGTGAAGTGCGCAAGTGGCAATTAAAATTAGTAAATTATTTTTTAATAAAACAGAAATAGTGAAATAATAGATCCCGTGTTTTTTATTTTAAAATAACAAAACTTTAAAAACTATTAATGTTTCTTCAGCTATAATAACATAAATAACATAAATAAGTAGTAATATGTATATTTAATTTTGTAGGTTGTGTGATTTTTCCGTTATGTGTATACATATACATATGCATCTTTATATTTCTGAATACAAATGATATTTTTAATAACTAATATTTATTAATATCGTCAAGTGATAATATGCATGTATATATCAAATTTTAGAAATTATATATTTAAATATTTTATAGCAATATGATAACAATAACAAATATACTTAAAAAATATTAATATCAATTTAGTACAAATGCACTTATTACAAATATTTAAAAAATAATTTTCATAGAAAGCTGATAAGTGGGCATTTAAATGAATACTCAGGGTGGTTTTGTATAGCGCATTTTTTTAGCAACTTCGGGAAGATCGTTGTTTCTGTGCATATAAATTGCATGAATCGCAATGAATTTGTGTAAAAATAATAAAATTTCTTTTGCAAAACTTTAAGGCATAGGGTTTGCTTAAATAATAATACGTATTGGCCATAAAATAAATATTTTTTAGAGTAGAGTATATAACATTCATAAAAACCGCGAAAGATGAGGAAAATATTTTTTTGAACAGATGGCAGAATGTTTTATTTTGGTAATAATAAATTAAATATATAGTTTAATGCAACTATGCATAAATATTGTATAACGTTATATTAACATATTAAAAAAGTTCTTTTTTACTTCAGTCTTCACTGTCGAATGTGCAACGCGTGTTTTACTATAATTTCTTTTAGCTATTATTTGTAACAAATAACAGGCCAGATCCAATTACAAGTTGAGACGTCAGACTATTTGCGGAGACAACACAATAATAAACACATTTGGAATCAAAAGGTTGAAAGTTGACCTACCGGTCTTTTCCGTGCCTTTTGTTGAAGCTTCATCATAGTCGACGTGAAATTACCAATTATAAGAGCAGATTTTTTATCCCAATATGGTCTCGTATTAAACATAACGCAAAAACGCTAATTGATCCGCTGACAACGTTAAATGTGACTGGTGCAGTCAAAAATGCCTCCACACACTCGATCTCAAATGGATTGTCAACCGATAGCCGAGAAGCCGAGGCGTTATGCAAGTGAGAAGCTAACAGAAAGAATTGGGCATAATGCTTAAACAAGAAATAGTGGAACCATCTGATAGTCAATGGTCCAGTTCCGTTCATTTAGTGAAAAAGAAAACGGGCGGTTGGAGAGAGTCTGGCGACTTCCGCAGACTAAATGCACATACGAAATCAGACAAATATCCGATACCGTTCCTGAATCAAATTTCTGAGACTTTTTAATGAAAGTAAGTTTTCAAAAATCGTTAACAACAGAGGGTATTATAATATTTCAATGGCCTTAGAAGATATCTGTAAAACTGCAGTAAGCATTTCACTAGGCATGTTCGAATTCGTTGTTATGTCATTTGGTCTCAAAAACACGACACACACTTTTCAGAGACAATTAAATTTCTTACTCAAAAATATTCCTTTCGTTTTCTGTTATCTGAATGACACATTGGTTTTTTCACGAACCATGGCAGAACATGGAAAACACGTGGAAAGGATGCTCGACAACCTACAAGAAGCACATCTGGAAGTTAATATTTCGAAACGCGAGTTCGGTGGCCATCAATTGCAGTTCTTAGGCTATAATTTGTCGACGAATGGCATGAATCCCCCAGCAGTGCGATTAGAATCTTTTCAAAATTATGTCCTAAAACAGAACATGAAATTCGTCAGTTTCTTAAAGTTGTCAATTATATTCGTAAGTTCCTCGAATATCATAGCTATAAGCACCTTTAAGCAGCCTACTAAGAGAATCCAAGAAGTGTCCCTTTTAGGAAATTGGCTAAGGTGAAATTTTTAAGACTTTTTTGAAATATAAAAAGTCATAGTGAACCCCCACCACAGGTAAGACACTTGACTTTGTTAGAGCCTTTCAAGCTCTAACGTTTAAAACTTTTAAGAGCCTTACAACCTCTAAAAAGTAACATCGTTCATTAAAAACATGAATATTAGTTAAAAGTGATTGAGGTAAAACACTTGATTAAAAATTCAAAAGTTCAAGTGAACAAAAAATATTAAGGCTGTTCGCAAAAACTCCATAAAAACCTATGAACTGATCCTAACAGCTTATAAAAAAGGAATTTAGGGAAATTCCTCAAGGCATGAATACAGGGCGTTTTTAAAAAATTGTCGTCAGGAAATGCACATAACCATCTTCTTTATTTTAGATGACAGAAAATAAGAAAAATCCAGCAGTCACAGATAATATTAAAAACGTGTCAGAGGGACACAAAGCAGTAGAGGAATATATACCTCAACAAAAGCAGCTAGTTTCCTACCCCAATTACACCCCAAGTAACGTAGCAACTCAAGGCCCAAAGAGGCTAACTATTGAAGAGTATAAAAATCGGCAGAGGCCAATAAGACCGCCAAGTCCAAAACCGGAGATACAAAAGAAAAGGAAGAGAGCTGGAAAGCAGTTTCAAAGAAGGAATGCTTTTGCACATTTGTACCAAGAATTGCATCTTCAAATAAAAAAAGAAGACAAAATTAAAATACAAACAAAAATTAAAGATAAAATATAAATAAAAAAAAAATTTTTTCTTTTAAAAATGGGTCTATTAACTAACACATAGAACGAGTTAATTAAAGACCAATATATTTTGATCAAAAAACTAGAAGAACTATTTAAACAGGCAGAAGAAATAGTAACTAGAATTAAAAAAATGACAAACGCACTAAGTCTTCTCTCGCCATTACACATTAAATTTACCAACAATTTTTAAACACACCCCCAAAAAACAATACAAACATTTTTCACTCATTAGTATGAAAGCAAACGCTGAAGTGTAAACAGTAAGTACCTATGCGTATTTTTTAAGAAAAATAATTTTTTTTTTATTTGAAGTTCAAAATTTATCGCGTAAATTTTTAAACGTATAAAATAGGTTTTGATAATTAATATTTTTTATAGTATAAAATAGGTATTATGGAGCGAAAAATATTGGCACTAGTTGTGATAAGAGAACTACTAATTGAAGAGGAGGAAGCTAAAAAACCAAAAAGGAAACGAATATGGGTGAAAAATTGATTTCAGAAAAGACAAAAACTGTGTCACACTAATTTACTACATGAATTGAAAACAACTTCACCCAATGATTACAGAAACTTTTTAAGAATATATCATTGTGCATATGAAGAATTGTTAACAAAAGTAACGCCGTATATTCAACGGCAAGATATGAGGAAGGCAATTTCACCGCATGAAAGATTATCGACAACTTTACGTTTTTTGGCAACAGGCCAAAGTTTTGAAGATATGAAATTTTGTGCGTACATTTCTCCAACTAGCATCAGCAAAATTGTTATTGAAACATGCAATATAGGTTTTAAAGGAATACATTTCTGTAAATAAAAAACACAAACTCGGCAGAGCCAAAGTAAAACTCTAGTTGTTTTTAATTACAGTTGCCAAAAAATAAAGAGGAATGGAAAATTACTTCTGGTGAATTCAGTAGCCTCCGGAATTTTCCACATTGTTTAGGAGCATGTTTAGGAAAGCATGTAAACATAATTAAACCAGCCGCGTGTGGTTCTTATTACTTCAACTATAAAAAATCACACAGTATGGTATTGTCCTTATGGCATTGGTAAATGCAAAATATGAATTTTTAATGATTGACGTTGGATGTAATGGTAGAGTTTCTAACGGTGGGGTGTTTTCTAACACATTATTTCATAAAAGGTTGGAAGATGGTCAGCTAAAAATACCGCCAAAGACGCTAATAACCAGTTTCGATACAGAGCTACCATATGTATTTGTTGCAGATGATGCGTTTCCTCTTAGAGAAAATATAATGAAACCATACAGCAGCAGTGGATTGACAGCAGAACAGGATTACTTCAACAAAAGACTATCTCGTGCACGTAGAGTTGTAGAGAATGCTTTTGGTATAATATCCTCAAGGTTCGAATACTGCTGACTACAATTCATCTATCCCCGGAAAAGTCCACAAAAATTGTGATGGCAACTTGCATAACTTTTTAAGAAAAAATTATGCATCTTCGTACTCGTTACCTCTACCTGCAGATAATCCAAGCGCAACAAATATCCCTTTAGCAAATCTGCAGCCGAGTAAAAATCAGAATGCAGCGAATATTGCAAAGGACACTAGGAAGAATTTTTGTGATTATTTACAATAAATTAATATTTATTTTTGTTATATTATCTATTTTATTACTTATGTTTTTTACTAAGTTTTTTATAACATATTCATTGTTTATTTTGGTTTTTTTAATAATTAAGTATAACTTTAAGTATGAAGAAAATATATTTATGTATCTATTAAAATATTATGTCTAAATGCAAAATGAAATTAAATATACATTTAAAATAAAGTGAATCTACTTTTAATAAAATTTTGTTTTTAAATTTTTATAAATATGAAAAGTAATTTAAGAAAATTCCTCTTCTATCATGATATCTTCAATGCTGCCGTACTGCTGTTGTTCTTCTACACCAACATATGACAATGGGTGAACAGGAGATA